CAGTTGGAGGGAGGCGGAGGGGGAATAGTGCCCGGCCCCTCTGTGGGGAGGGGGGGTCTCATCATGGGTGGCAGAGGAGCAGGGGGAGGGACACCAGGCGCTGGTGGCAGCTGAGGTGGCACTGGAGGAGGTGGTACTGGTCCAGAGGGTGGCATGGGGGGCAAAGTCATCCCTCCTGGAGGAGGTGGAGGCATTGAGTCTGGCAGAGGGGGTCTGGGGGGCAATCCGTTCATCAGTGGAGGTGGAGGAGGCCGCTTCACAGTCGGGGGGCCAGGAGGGAGGTTGGGGGGAGCTGGGGGCTTCTCCATTTTGAAGTGGAATTGAAGGAAGAACTGGGGAGAGGGAAAAAAGCAAAGAGAAGGAAACGATCAGCTCTCAGGACAACTTTGTGCCATCACACATCAGCGATTTTAGCATCAAAGCCAAAATGGATACAACTCCACTGCCTTTTCCCCCAGGCTCTGCCCTCCCCCACTCCCCCTTCAACCCTTAAGAAAGATGCTGCCACGCTCCAGCTACCTGTTTGGTTTCCCTGTTCCAGTGGGTCCAAAACTTTCCCTCCGCTTTGTCGATTTCTCTGCTTGGCACCTGCAACAAAAAAGAACAGAGAGCTATTATTAGCAGCACCAGATTAGCTCAGTGGCCCTTTCTAGCACCAGATAAGCAGTTATTCCAGGCCTTTGTGAGATGTGCTCGTCTCGGATGTTATTAGATAGAGATGGGGGCAGCAAAGAATTGAGTTACTTCCCTATCGGTCAAGGACAAGTATGCTGGCAGAATAAACCCCTCTCAACATCTGCACAAAGGCTGAGAGCAGAGCCCAGGAGGATCCTTTCTGCGCCAGACACTGAGAATTCAATGGCTCCCCAGAGCTCAACGCAGAGCCTGGTTTTCATGCCAGACTCCTCCAGTAATTCTCAGCAGAGTTTAACAACTTCCAGTCATGTCTTCTTGACCTTCCTTTCCAGGCCATTAACCCCCCAAAGGCTAGAACAGAACAAGTCTGTGACGGCCATCACTGGGAACTAATGTCCTGGAAAATATGGGAACTCTCCCTGTCATCAGTCAGCCCCAAACGTTACCTTGAAGGCGATGGTTTCGTAGGGCTCTGCTGCCATCAGGAGGTACTGCCAGCGCCGATCAGGGGGCTCAATCCTTTGCTCATATGCTGACATGAACCGATGGCGAGGCATGATGCTTTCTGCAATCTCAGGGTAATCAATCTGTTGGGGTATTATGGCAGATTTACAACACCCCCCTTATGCACTCCTCCTTCATACAGAAAGAACCCCTCAGCTATGCAAGAATAGCTGAAGACAAGAAGCTCCCAACAGAAAGTTTACTGTTGCCAAAGAAAACAGCTCAACAATTACGATCACAGATTCTTCCATTTAGCTGACACAGTTATCAACAGCAAACTAGCAAGATAAGCCCTTTTTGTTTTTATTTTATTATTACCTCATGAGTGTTGCAAAGAACTGCTCATTTAGCCAAGCTTTTACTTGGATAACCCAGAAACCAAGAATTTGACCTTACCTGGAAGAGAAGGCTCTGCTGGCCTGTCTCTGGATCTCTCTGTTTGGTCACTGTAAAGAAAATAAGAAAGCTTAGTACATTACATAAAGGTCAGCACAGTATTACTTCTGCCCTAGAAAGCTCCAAGAACAAAATATGACAGGATTTTGTTTCCCATTTATCAAATAAAATGCCACAATGTCTTCAACCAAAATTCCTGTGGGTGTCTACTGAAATGCAGCTGCTGTGGGGCACAGACACTGACACACTGTGCACTGCAGAGCACAGCTGGGAGATAAAGAAGCCATGTCTTGTAGTGAAGGCCAAAATCAAACAGTGGGGAGTTCAGAGAGAAAAAATACTGAGCTATACATCCAATGGGTGACTTGTGAGCAATAGTGAGAGATGGCAGAGCACAATAAAAGAGAGACTGAAGCAATGCCATCATCTCCCATATGACTCCTGTAAGAGCTGACAGACTGAGACGTACTGATCTATTATTAAAATGGCTCCCACTCAACTGTCAGCAATAGAGAGACATCCCATGGGCAATTTAAACAATAAAGGACATCAGGAGATAAGCCCATATCTTATTTATGGACAGCTCTGCTAAAAAAGCTGATGAACAATTCATGCCCACAGCACTGCACCTCAAGCAAGCTCCAGCAGCCATGGGGTATCTGCTACGACAGGCACTGCTGACAAACCTTTGTAACCTGGTCGTCCAATTTTCACAAACTTCTTCACTTCCACTTTGACTTTTTCTGGTGCAGGTTGGGCAGGGGCTTCCTTTGCTTCCTTGGCAGCTCGACGGGCCCTGGATTCATTGGAAATGTGCAGTGTTAAATAGTTGTCAGCACTTGGTTCCGAAGGACATGCTAAAAGGCAGTGTGCATCCTGTGTGCTGGAGCATTCAGCACTTCACAGAAAGCACACTGGGAAACTGCTGCTCCTCCTCCACAAGCATCACGGGAGGCCAGTTTTCTCCATGCCCTGCCCTGACTACAAGCTGTCACCTCCACCATCTCACCCGCCTCTAAGAGGACTTTGGTGCCCACCTCCACAGATGGAGCTGAGATTACTTCTTAGAAGTCAAAAAGGAAATTGACTCCACAAGCCAGATATCTAAAGCAGAGCAAACCTGAGTTCTTAGATTAAAGCTTACAAACTTTTCTCAAGCTATATTCACAAAAAAGGTTCCCTTACAGCTAGACTTAATCACTTTTAAAACTCTTTTGCTCCCTTCCCTCAGAAATGCCACAGCTGGCTTTGAACTGGAGCTTGTCAGCACCACTGTTCAGAGCAGAGCTAGTTCACACCTGCTGGTGAGTGCCTCAGAAACAAAAAGAGACAAAGAACATTCAAGCCCAGACTGCTACTACATGATGGAGGTCAAGTTTTATAGGTGCTCACAATCTAATTTTGAAGTGCCTAAGTAATGAAGAATAACTACAGTGGAGAACAACTTACAGATTGGTCTGATGCTTCTTCCCCTGGGTGTGTGCTAAGTAACTTCCCTGGGGGAAAAGAAAGAAAGTTACACGAAGACTGAACTGTTCCTGAACAGAAAGATATTTGTCACGGATGAGAGGTGACATTTCACATTGACAAAGATATTTTAATCCTCAGAGCACAGCGGAATCAAACTCAAAAATTGCAGACTGCTCACAACTGCTGAACTGTCAGAAACTTGTCATGCTTAACACAGACAGCCTCTGCTCCCCCCATCACCCCTCCAGCAATCAGCCAACGAGAACAGCTTCAGTTCCAGCACTCGGAGCTAGCATTATTCTAAAATATCTGTTGCCATGGAGATCAAGACAGACAGCTGCTCAACTCACCTCATTGTTATGGAGCGTCAGGCAAAGCTTGCATTCATAAGAACCCAAGTGATTTTTCATAAAATAGGGGTCCTAGGAAGAGAATTTTAAAAAGTTACATGCAAAATCCATGTTGGAACAACTGAACAATCAAAATTCTAAAGCAGAGCTGCACTGCAAGAACTGAGCTCACGGAGCAAAGTTATTAGCACAACACTGCTTTAGGAATACAGAAAAAAGAAACAAGAGCAGTTTTGATCACTGGTAACACCATACCCAACTCCAGCAAAATAAGAACCAGTACCAAGAAGACTGAATATAACACAACAGAAGCCCGGTGCTGGCATCCCTCTGCTTGGCCCTTCCACAAGTTGCTCAACTCCCTCATCAGTAGGAACAGAAGTATTTATTCCAGTCCACCCCACTAAACCTCTCACCCACCACTGAGGTGCAGCCCTCACACAGCCTGCAGGACTGGGGCTCACCTTGTTGATGTCGATGGTCTCCAAAGCCAGCTGCCGAAGCCTTTCCCTGCGGTCTCGGTTGCTTTCTGAGGCTGAAGCTACGCCTCCACTCCCCGTTTTACCCCCAGGACGGTGCTGAAAATCCATGGTGGGGATTTCTGGGCTTCGGCGACTTCAGGAAAAGAAAAAAAAGTCTGGAAAAATGAAGAAAAGACACATGAGTGACAGCACCTCCCTAAGCTGGGCCTCGCATGAAGCCCCGCCATGAGGACACAGCCCAGGCACTGCAAGCACTCCCTGAGCGTTCCCCAGGTGCTGCCCTGACCCAGTGAGCAGGAACAAAATGACCCAAAGCCAGAATGAGCTCCTGGAGACTCCCCTCGACCTCCTCAGCCCCTCAAAGAAAGTGATGGATTCCCTCCCAGCTGCTCACCAGGGCACAGTGATGCTCAGTGAGAGCCACAGCCCCTCCAGGAGCCCCCATTCCCCCAGTAAAGGCCTGAACCCCATTACCACCACAACTCCCTCACTGAGGGCTGCAGCCCCCGCAGAGCCCACAGCCCTCTGAGGTTCTGAGCAGAGCAGGTTCTGAGCCAGCCCTCAACACCTCATTCCCACAGCCCCCTGCAGACCCCCCAGTACCTCAGCAAGGGACAGAACCACCCCTAACCCACCACTGCCTTCTCACACAGGGGTCTT